AAAAGCAATCTCAATTTTAGGAGAAATGCAAGTAAATAAGAAATTACTTATCTATCGACTTTTCCCATTTGGGTGAAGGAATGTTGGGCAAGAGCAGAGAGCATGATGCAATAGTAGGGAGGTCATGGGAGAGCTGAATTGTGAAGTGGCTCTGTGGGCTGCCGTGGACCAAAGCAGCTGCTGATGGGACAAAGAATCTGTGAAAACCACAGATGGGGCAAGTCCAGAAAGGCATCCGAGGCATACATGGACCTTGTTTTTGCATGTTTTATTGCCAAGATAAATTGTAAACTCATATTCGAGTTTGTGGTCTGTCATTATTTTAAGAAAACTAAAAAGGGACTTTTAAAGAACTTGTGACCAACACCTAAAGTCTTTATTTTATACCTAGACACTCCAGGCCAAATCACAAAAGACATCTCAGAACAGCAAGGCTAGCTCGAAAGGAGCATAAAGACCACTTGAGGATGAAGCCTCACCCTCTCCAGCTTCCAGCCCTCAGCAATGGCATCAGTAAAGAACCTTCCAGCTGAGACTATCTGTGAGGCTTCATAGAGGATCAGCTGCTTTAGGGGCAGTCCTTTGAGGCCTTGTAACCATTCTGGGTGATATCAGCAGTGAAACCAAGTTCAGACCATTCAGAGAAATATAATTGCAAGCCCATTTCCTCTGTACCATTATGTCATCTCACCAAACTGTGTGAAGCCCACCCCCTATTTGTTTTTGAATAGTTTCATATTTGTATATCCTTTGAGAGAAGAAAGTTTTTATGATGGCATCAGCCCGGCACCGTCGACCCCTCTGCCTCCTACAGTTTGGAATCCTGAATAAGAACTTCAGAATGATCTATTGCCAGATCAGTGCCCAGGAAACAAGGTACTTTATGAGATAGGATGGATAGACTCTGCAGTAAAGTCTTTCTAGATACACTGAAGAGAAGGGTTCTTGAAGGAGAATATGGGGAGTTAAGCAGACTGGCAATGGAAGAGGTTTGGCTGCAGCTTAGCTGTTCTGACAGACATTCCCCTCTAGGGCCTGCAGAGGCTGCCGGAATCTGGGAGGCGGCCACTCTTCTAGCACATATGGCTTTCATTAGCCACCATTTTGCTAGGAAACATAATTAAGGGTTTAAGGCTTTACCATTTGTTTGTGTTGGGTGTGTTTTTCTGGTCAGGATGTCTTTCACAAATCAGACTATTTGTTAGTCATAGGGGCTGCTACAGTCTGATAGAATCCCAGTGCTCCCCAGTAACAAATTGACATTCAGATGTTTATGTTCAGTGTTTTTAGAATTGTTAATACTGAACTTAGACTGCCATGTGGCAGAACAGCTTCCTTTCCTTGGAGAGTGGTTAGTAAGGAAAAGGTATTTCAGCCTGTAGGTGATATCAGATTTCTTTACTTGCTGTGAAATTTAAAAGCTAGATGGGAGTCAGTTGAACCAAGCAAAACTCAACTCAGTGCTGTCTGGGATTACCTAAATGAGTGATGTCACCAGCACCCCCACAGTAAGAACACGCACTTTAAAATGCTTCCTAGCCGGGCTAGGTGGCTCAGCCTGTAATCCCGCGCCTTTGGGAGGCTGAGGTGAGTGGATTGCCTGAGTCCGTGAGTTCGAGACCTGCCTGGGCAACTTGACAAGACCTCATCTCTACAATAAATCAAAATGAGCCGGGCATGGTAGCATGCACCTGTAGTTCCAGCTACTTGGAAGGCTGAGGCAGAAGGATCACCGGAGCCCAGCAGGTCGAGGCTGCAGTGGCCGGGAGCAGCCACTGCATTCCAGTCTGGGGGACAGAGACTCCAACTCAAAAAATAAATAAATAAAATAAATAAAATGCTTCCTAACTCTGCTCATCAGAGGACACACCCCGCCATGTCCTGCTAATGAACTCCAGCTCCCCTGGGATTTGCTCTACTGTGCAAATATAGCATTCCATGGGTCCTGCTATTGGCCCAGCAAGGTGATTCACAATACATTTTCCCACTTTTTATTTTATTTTATTTTGAGTTGGAGTCTCACTCTGTCGCCCAGACTGGAGTGCAGTAGCCGCTCCCAACCACCGCAGCCTCGACCTGCTAGGCTCCAGCAGGGTTCCGCTGATCCTTCCGCCTCAGCCTTCCAAGTAGCTGCAACTACAGGCGTGTGCTTCCATGTCCAGCTCATTTTGATTTATTGTAGATGAGGTCTTGCCAAGTTGCCCAGGCGGGTCTCGAACTTGCGGGTTCAGGCAATCCACTCACCTCAGCTAACATTTTCCCACTTTTAAAACAATGGGTATTTATCTTAATTAGCCCACATCTGTGTGAAATGTGGGTAAGGGATTAGCTAGGTGACTTGATTAATCCTGCTTTAGCTGAATGAGTCACATGCCCTGCTGGGCTTCCTCACTTCTCAGGCCTCCCTAGGAGCAGAGAGGGAATGGTTAGGGCAAGGGGCCAGGCCACTTGATAGGCCATTCTTCCTTTTCTTGTGATAGTTCAGAGAAGCCAAGGGTGTTTCTTTGTCCTCATCACTTAGGGTGCTTGACTGTGGGTTCAGTGATGGTTAGATCTGGCCCTATGCTGAGTGGTGTTCTCATAAATGACGAGGGAGGAAAAACCCTGATTTGTAGTATTTGCATATTCTAGGGATGTAAATACTCCCACCATGGCAACCTCACCCCTAGCCCTCCCTGGAGCAACAAGAGACAATTAACCTCTAGTTGGCAGCATGTTCATGAAACATTATCACTTTTGTGTGCTAAGAAATGCATGTGGGGAGGCAGTACAGCAGACACGGTCCTGAATACTGTGAAAGATCAACCTAGCAGGAAGCCTCCCCAAGACCTAGTCTTCCTAACAGTTGGGCTCTTGCTAACCTTCCCTCTCCTGGGCTCTCCTTGGCTGAGGAATGGAAGGCTACACCAGGTTGCTTCAAAGTTTCTCCCAGCCCTGCTCTCTGCTCCTCTCTACAGATGCAGATGCCTTGGCTCTACCAGCTGCTAAGATCTCACTGGGTGTGATTTTAGGTAGTTTCTCAAAGCCAGCTGCTGAGATGTTAGACTTCACATGGCTATGGCCCTGCACTTGGGCCCTGCACTTGCCTTACCCAAATTCTGTACTGAAGTAACTACACACCATATTGGTGATGCCACTCAATGCTCTGTAATGCTAAAACCTGGGCTAAAGGCTTCCCACTCACCACCCATACACATAGCAGGTAAGATTAGACTAATGTAACTTAAAGTGGGTTGGCACATCACCTAATGTGGACTCAGACTTTTGTCTGCTGGCTCCACCCAGTGGTGGCTCGTAAGCACAGTGACTCCAGCACCATTGAGACAGATTTCCAGCTTAATCTGCTATTCAATCTTACTTACCTGAGATCAATACATTACATTAGCAGTGCCAAGGGACTGATGATCCCAGCCTGTGGCAATTAGAAAGGACGGAAAGGCAGTATTGATTAATGCTGAGGCAATCCCAGGCCCTAATCTTTTAACCCTCAGGAAACCAGACAGATTCAGCACTTTGACAGCATAACATCTTCATTAGATAAACGGGATTCTTTCCTCAAGAGACTGAATCTGGTCATCTAAGTAAAATGGCCATTTCATTTTCTCTCAGGTCAATTTCACTATCTTTTATTTGATAGCCAACTCAGTCTTTGGGGAAATTTGTGGATGATTTGAGTAGTAACCGCAAGGACATCACTGTAATAATGATAGTGCCTTATATTTCTTTAGCCCCTCTCCCAAGGGTATATGAAGCTGTTCAGATTCTCCATCCATTCACACAACACTGCTCCGAGGCAGAAATGATCATTACTGTTTTACAAGGAAAGACGCCACTATGTGGTCTCAAAGCAAATGGTTTTTAAGAGCTAAAATTCATTTCCTGGCTCTGTTCACCAAATGATGCCTTCTTTAAACATAAACACAAATTGTAATGTGTTAACAGTTACATATTTACAGAGAGAAACAGAGAGGATTTTACAATAGTGACCAACACAGCAGCTGCCAACAAATACCTAGCTCAGAAAGAACATGGAAAGCATCACTCCTGTTTCCCACAGACACAAAAGCACACTGAACTTTCCTCAGTATTCAGTGTAACCCAGCAGAAGGGAAGTTTTAACATCAGGCAGAGGCGCAGGATGAGTTGGAGCAATGATGTGCCCAGGAGCCAGAATCCACTTGGCGAACACTGTGATAACCAGCAGGTGGCAGAAGAAATAAATTTCCAAGCAGCCAAAACCACAAAAACATACAGAGAATTTTTTTCCCTTTCCTGAGGGACTGGGTGGAGGAAACCAAGATCTGTGACAGTCCCGACACATGTGGCCTGGTCACATGGATACAGGAAGAAAGGTCTGGGGGAGGATAATGAACAAAGTAGGTTGAGAAAAATGAAGCAAGGGACCAGAACGTGAAACTAGCCTTGAGTGACACGTTTTCCCTCACTCAGAAGCACAGGCAAAGCCATGCCCACAGGGGCAGACACAGATCCAGGTTTCTGCAGATCCTGGCTGGATAATCCTTTGCTTTGCTCCTAGTCACTTTAGCTCTACCCCTTGGCTATTCCAAAGTGGCACCCTTCCCACCAGACATCCCAGTTTCCTCTGAGGAAACAATCTGCGGTCGAGGCTGCGGGGCCTTGGCTCTCTGCCTGGCACCTCTGGTGTATGGATGGGGTTCCTGCCCACGACGCAGACATCTTCTTTTCCTGCCTTTCCAAAGCAGCGGAAAGGTAGGAGGTTCATGGCGAGGTCTGGGTGCAGGACCTAGAAGGAAAAGGTTACCAGGACTCTGTGGGGAGCCCCAGGGCCCACGTCCCACCTTTCCAGCAGACATCCTCTCCCTTTTCACACAGTCCATATAAAAATGAAGCAGCAGCAATTTTTATTGAGGGACCTAAACTGAAAATAGGTTTAGAACATAATTTAAAAAAATAAAACAGCAAAAGTAGCAAAAAATATATGACCTTTTAAAAAACATTTTCCTTTTTTTTCTTTTTTCTTTGTTTTTAATATATAGCAACTGATGCCTCCCAGCCACCAGGAGCATCTTACCCAATGGGTAAATCTCTGGTAACGACCCTTTTAAAAAGACATGTAAATATATACTCAGATTTATACACTTTGTGTTTTCTTCATAGCTATGTACAAAGCCCCCAGTTTGGGGCTGGGCCCCAGGGCCACAACACGCTCCCAGCCTTTGCCTCACCATCCTCTGGTACCAGGTATTTGGTCAGCAAAGCAAATTAGTATGGGAATTAATAAGCCACTGGCACCATGTGTCTGGAGCAGACGTTGCTTCCAGTTGAGGCCTGAAGCACTGACCTCCCTACCGCTGTAGCCCTGAGGACAAGGCACCTGCCACCAGAATTCAAGGGGCTTACAGGTGAACTGTACAAAACCAACGCAGGAAAGCTCAGGGAGCTCTCACTGCAGGCCTGCTCATCTCCCACTCCCCACTCCTCCAGGCACACCTGGGGGCAGGGAGGGGTCTTGGTCCAACACGTGGGAAGGAACGAAGTGGCCATCAGCGAGTACCTGCCTCTTGGCTCCTCCCTCACAAGCAGGTTGAGAGGAAGAGGTGAGCTCAGGGAGTGAAGACAGGCCACACAGGAAGGCCCCAGGAAGGCAGCCGGCTCCTGCCAGCAGGGAAGGGGAAAGGGGCAGGCAGTGGGTCCAGCAGGGAGTTGTGGGTGAGGGGTACAGTTGATGGAGTCTGGGGAGGGGAATGGTGGTGGCAGTCAGCGCCGTTTGAGTCCACCGTTGGCAAGCTGGGGCGGATGTCGGGGCAAGCAGGGCTCCTCAGGCAATGGCTCATGAGAGAAGACAGAATCCTCCCCTGAGGAGCAGGTAGAGCTCCGGGTGTCAGGAAAGCTGGGTGAGTACTGGTCCAGGGGCATGGACAGGTCCAGATACTCCTGTGATGGGAGAAGGGAGAACGATGGCCGCATGCCCCTCCCTGTGGCATGTTTGCTCAGGAAGATGCACATGCGTGGCAAGGGCAGGCATCTAGCACAGCAGCCTCACCTGGTTGGAGGTCAAGGCCACAATGCGGTCTAGGTCTTCCACCAGCTGCTTAAAGGTGGGTCTCTGTGAGGGCACTGCATGCCAGCAGTCCCGCATCATCATGTACCTGTGGCAGGAGTGCAGAGTCAGGGAGGAAGGGCCGCCCCCTTGGGACACACCCCTGTCATCTAGCCCTCTTCCCCTCCAGCCCGCTCTTGCCCCATGCCCAGCGCGGGGCCTCAGGCTTACAGCTCATTGGTGCAGTTACTGGGCTTGTCCATGCGATGACCCTCCTTTAGCAGCTTGAAAAGCTCCTCCACAGGCACGCCAGGATACGGGGAGCCACCCAGAGTGAAGATCTCCCACAAGAGCACTCCAAAAGACCACCTGTGGATGAGCAGGGCCACAGGGTCTCAGGACAGAGCCAGGCCACCTGGGATTCTCCACCCCCCTCTCTCCTGCATGCCAGGGACTCAGCCTGAACTTCCCCCAACACAAGTCCTGAATTCCAAGGGCAGTGCCAAGAGACATGCGCAGGATAGCTTGGCCCTCAACATCCAGGAGGAGAGTGGATGGCTACAGACGAGGTTTTGTTTTTTTCTCTCAGATGACAGGAGAGTCATCAACCCAGAGGGGAGGCAGGACTCTATCGTACTGAAGTTCTCCGTTCCCATATCCCTGGCATGTGCTTATTTCAAACTCACACATCACTCTGGTGGGTGTAGATCCGGTCAAACAGTGCCTCGGGTGCCATCCACTTCACGGGCAGTCGGCCCTGCAAGCAGCATGGGTGATTGGGGGTGGCCCCGGGCAGGGCAGTGGGGTCACGGGCAGACAGGACTAGGGGTGGGTCTTCAGCCCATCCTTCCACATCCTTTCTCAGGCAAAGTGACTTGCAACGCACACAGCCCAATGGCACTTACGTTGGTTGTCTTCTTATAGTAGTCGATGTGGTGAATGTCCCGGGCTAGGCCAAAGTCTGCGATCTTCATCACGTTGTCCTCTGTCACCAGGACATTCCTGGCAGCCAGGTCTCGGTGTATGCACTGTGGAGAGAGAAGGGGAGAGTGGGGTGGGGGAGATGGGGCAGGAAGGTAAGGGGGCTGAAGGCTCTAGCAGCGGATTATGCAGCTGGCTGGCAAACAGACTGGCCTCACAGGGCTCCTGCCACACTGCTTTGCCTGCTGATCGTTCCCTTTCAAACCTCCTAGCTCCAGGCTTCTCATCACTTTAGCAAACCCCCACCCAAAAGGACTCTTTCACACCTGTGCTGAGTCTACAGAGGTGAGCGCTCCCAGGCTCCACCTGCCAGCACTGCATATCCACGTGGATGGGGTCATCCACATGAGGTCATTTACACGGGGTTGGGACTGAAAGCGCCATATACGGTCCCCAAATTGTCCTCAACATTCTCACAGACACAATTCCATTTTATCCACATAGCAATTCTACAACATGGGTACTCTTATTTTGTAGTTGAAGAAACAGAAGGCATATTAAGTTGCTGTATGAGGCTGTGTGGAAAGGGGCAACACACAGATCTGAGCCTCAACCTGTCTGACCCCAAGGCTTGGGCTACAGTAGTTCTGACTGTGGTTCCCGGAGGCTAAGACAGCATGCACAGACAGTGCTCAATGTCCCCAACTCCACCCAAGGATGAAAAGTCATAGACTGCAGTGCTAGGAGGGCTCTGTTCCCACCCCACTTCACCCAGGGGCGCCTTCAGGTCCCACACCTTCTTGGAGGCGAGGTATTCCATGCCCCGGGCCACCTGATAGGCGCAGGACACCAGGTCCTTGGAGGAGAGCTGCTCCTCTGGGTTGTGGCTGGGGTTGTAACAGTACTCCAGCCCGGGGGGCCTCCGGGCCTGCAGGTACTCCCGCAGGTTGCCCTTGGAGGCATACTCCACGATGACGTACAAAGGTCCTGGGGCAAAGGAGGAATAGGCCATCAGGGCAGGCGGCTCCAGACAGCCCACCCCAGGGGCACACCATGCCTCACCTCCCCTTTCCTGCCTCTTCGTTAGAGAACCAGGAAAATGCTCTTTACTATTCAGAGAAAGCCAGGGAAACAATTCTTCCCGGCATAGTCCAGAAAGTTCCCGAGAAGAGTTGGTGGACCTTGCTCTTGTTCACACTGTGTGGGCTGGGGTGCCTGTGTTCTCAGATGAACGCCAACAGGCAGCAGTCCAGACCCCGAGAAATACCTATGTTCCACCCACTGCTAAACCGGCCTCCCTGAACCCCTTAAGCGTGGCTGAGAGAGGCCCTGTCAGGTACCCCAGCTCAGCCCCAGCCTGAAGGGGCGGGACGGTGGCCCACGGGCACCTACCCTCCTGCGTGCAGGCTCCTAGCAGGTTGATGATGTTCTTGTGCTTCCCGATCATCTTCATCATTTCCATTTCTGAGATCAGGTCTGACAGGTCTTTCTCTGTTGCGTCCGCTTTACACAGAATGGAGAAGACTCATTTACTTGTGGAAGGGAGGAAGGTAGGGGAAGGGCTGAGGAGAGGGAAAGGAGCCTGCCCAAAGAGGCCCATCTCTCTGGGACTGGGTTTTCTCCCTCCCGGTTCCCATTCAAATGAATCTTCCCTTCCCTCCATGGGAGCCATTGTTACCATATATGGTAGCAAACGGACCGGGGATGTGGTGAGAAAAACCGGTGGACAAAGGGGTCTAGGATAACACCTGACCACGGCCCAGGTTGATGTCAAGGAGCAAGGTGAGATAACAGCAGTCTTGGGCTGCAGAAGGCCCCTCCACTCCCAGGTAGCCCTCAGCCATCGGGGTGGCCGGTGTGGGCCATGAGGCACCAGAGAAGGCGTTCTAGTTGGCCCGAGCCCATGGTTTGTTGGAAAGGGACAAGTTGTCTTTGCAAGGACAGAAGCTTCACTTACACTTCAACATCTTCACAGCCACTTTGGTCACACGGTTGGGTTTGTCCTTGTCCAGCCCGATGGCCTCTGCCAGCACCACCTGCCCAAAGCAGCCCTCTCCCAGGGGTTTGCCTAAGACCAGTCTTGGGGGAAACAGAGAGGGCATAAGCTGGGGCTGGTGAGGTTGAGCCCTCGAGAGGCACCTCATTTCCACCTCTGCACCTTCCACCCACTGAAAGCAGGAAGCAGAAGTGATTGTTCAGGAGTCACTTCCTGTACCTTTGTCCCTAGGTCTCAGTACACACCTTTCACCCTTAGGATAACAAGCAAGGAAGGCCGAGTATCACCTGTCCCGAGGCAGCTCCCAGCGAGGGTCTTCAGGAAGCTCATATTCAGAGACCCCTGCGAGCATGGGGGTCCCACTGGAGGAGAGCCGTGAGGGCCGAACCAAAAGAACCCCTGAGTTCATGGATGCGCTGGAGTCAGCAGACACCTGCAGGGAAGAGTGGGGTCACCCTTCTCGCAAGGAGGGGGTGGCTGATTCCTTCCCATTCCTAGTCAGTGCTTCCCACCCATAGCAGAGGCACGTTCTGTGTATCTGATGTCCCTTTCCCAATGCAATGGCACAAAGGCCACATGAGCCCAAAAGACCTAAGTTTTAGGGTTTACTTATACCTGCCACCGACTAGCCTATCTGGCCTTCACTCGCCTTGAAAACGAGCAGGTTAAATGTACCTCTTCTGGCTTGACATTTTGTAACTTATCCTCACAAAACAACTCTAGTTTTGTCCCAGGTCTTTGAGAAAATCCTGCTTTAGCTTACGGATCCCTAACTCCCAAAGCACATTCCAGAATTAGCACCAGGTTCTGAGTGAACAGGCCCTTCTGCACATGCCTGCACCTTCTGCCCTATTTCCTCCGTGGGGGGTGGAGGTAAAAGGTGGACGAGAGTCCCCTTCTCTTCCCTGCATATGGCCCTTGGGAACAGTTAAGTGCACGCTGTCAGCTTGCACGTTCAATCCAGACAAGACTTCCAATGCACATGCCAAGAGAGCAGGGGATGTGCAGTGGGATAAGGAGGGACCAGGGAGTCACGGGCTAGACCAGCTTGAAACTGACTCGGGAGCACTTAGTTCAGGCCATTCCATTGCACCTGGTCCAGAAGCCAGGAAATAAAGCCTGAAGCAGCAGATTAGGGCCAGTGGAGAGGACAGGCTGCTAAGGACCCAGAGAAGGCCCCAGAGGCACAGACAGATGGCAGTGCTGAGCATGCGAATCCCCCATCTACTTTCTGTTACCTGTCTGCGCAGAGGGATGCTCTTGGCCAGCTTGTGCACGGCCATCTGGCTGTGGAAGTCACTCTTCTTGGTGCCACTCTTCATCTTATAGATGATGACAGACCCCACCATGCAGGAGATGAGGAAAGCCCCCGTGCAATAGATGATGATCTCCAGGTACAGGGGCGAGGTCATCACCGCAGGCCTCTCTTCCAGGGCTGAGTCAGTGCGAACAGGGTGTTAGAGGCTCTGGGGGGTTCTAGCCATGAGGGGCCCCACTCCATAAGAAAATCATCACAACACCCATCTCTTGTTCCCCGGGGAACTTTTAGGGAGGAAAACCACGCCAGGTTCTAGTGAGGATTGGGATGCTGGCACTGAGAGAATCAGACACCCTGTGACCTTGGAGGCGTCTCTTAAACTGACTCAAACCCCATAGGAGGAATGGACTAGACCATCTTGCTACACATAGGTCCCCTCCTCGTTCATTCCCCAGCCTCTTTGTTCAGCTGGACTGAACAGGTACCAGGGAACCTGGGAGAGCCAGCTGAGAAGTCACTTCTGGGTGCCTTTCTCAGTCTCCATAGAGCCCTGGCCCTCTCTTGCAGAACCTCAGCCCTATGTGCGTGTACCATCACCTGGGGACAGATGTGTTTCTGAGTCCTCTGTCCCTGAGAAGCCACGAGGTTCTTGAAGGCAGGGCCAGTGAATTCTATGTGCCACAGTAGCTAAGCCAGTCCCATCTACCCTTCTCACCAGCACAAGGCTAGGAGGCTCACATTCCCACACATATGGTGCTGGCTTCACCACATGCCCCATCACCCCCATGTGTGGAGACCCTCCTCCTTCCACAGGTCTCCTCCCAACTCTCCCCGTTAAAGCCTACCCACCAGCCATGGGGGCGGCACCCCTGAGAAATCTTTCAGAGAGGCACAAGGCATGACCCCAGAGGGGAACATCCCAAGGCCTGACAAGGAGATAGCAGAGCTGATGACAGGGAGAAGTGTTTCTGTTTTTTCCTTTTCCCAATGTTGAGAAACGAAGACAACAAACTGGGAGCACAGACAGGACAAAGACAGGGACTGATAAAAACAGAACGCTTCTCTGCCTCATGCATGGGCATTCTGAGACCCTGCAGGGCAAGCAGGGCAGAGAGGGGAGGGAGAGGAGAGAGGGCAGTACCAGCAGGAACAAGAACAGAGTAGCGCCCACACCCTAGGCTCACATGCAGAACACTCCTAGAGGCAGCACCCACACACTCTGGCCCTGTGGTCACCAGCCCACCACCCTGAACAGGCTACAGGCTCCTTCCCTCCCTGCTCAACACATAGGCCTCCTCTCTTGGGACAGGAGAGATGGCTGCAGCCAGAGAGGTGAAAGGGGCATCATGAAGCCCCTACGGCTCCTGGGACAGGCCTTACTGAAGGCAGCTCAAGGTCGCTTGTCTAGCAGACCCTCCTGAAGTAGAGGACAGCAGAATGAAGGGTGGGCTAGTGCTGTTCCTTGCAAGCAGTGAGCCCCCTGGACTGAGTGCCCACGTTCAGTGAGGGGAGGAGTGGGCCCCTTTTTGAGACTTCTCAGACACTCAGGACCCAGTGGATGTGGGGCAGCTGCAGACCCCAGGATGGAAGGAGCCTGCCCTGGAGGAGAGTTCAGTTGCAAGTTCAATCCAGACCCCATGCATGCATTCATTGGCCAAGGGCAGAGCCAGAGGCAGGACACAGGTGGGAGGCCTCCACGCTCCTGCAAAGCAGGAAAGCTCCTGTGTGAGCTGAGAGAATTCAGCCCTCAAAGGCAGGGCAGACAGAACCCATGGCAGCCAGGAGCCCCTTCCTCTACCTTTCCTGGCTCTGGGTCTTCCCCAGCCCTGCAATGCATGCTCCCCCCGTGCCCGTGGCCAGGGCAGGACATCGAGAGGAGAAGTTACAGTGTATACCTTCCAGAACGGTCAACCATGCAGAGTGATGGGAGAGTCCGATAGAGTTACCCGCCAAGCATGTATACTCCCCTGCGTCCTCAAAGGAGACATTTCTTAAGTGAAGCACTTCCATCTCTTTGTCGGTGGTATTAACTCCGGCAGTCTAGAAGAGACAACGGAAGCAAAATGGACAAGCACAGGACATGAGACCTCTAAGAGACACAGAGAAAGGGAGGGAGGGAGACAGATGGAGGGTGGGACCAGAGGAAGAAATGCTCCCCAGCGTCTCCTTTGCAACAAGGAACAAACAAAAACCACCAGGCAGTGAAACCTGTTAGAGGAAGAGGGTGAGACCCTGAGGGAGGAACTCCGGCAGACCTGAGAGGACGACGGCTGGTTACGACCCTTCACCAGACGCTGGCAGCCACTGGCCCAGCCAAGCATGCGGGCGGTGAGCAGCATGGAGAAATGGGGCCGGCGGGCAGAGGCTGTTTGGTTTCAGGTAGAGAGAGCCAAAGGGTGCACACAGAAGGGATGGAGGGTACTGCAGACACAGACACAGACACACACACACACACACACACACACACACACACACAAACGCATACACAGAGACACATATATAGGCATAGCTTGCAAATGCTAGTGTTGAAGAGATGCTCAACCCCCTCTGGTACCCACCACTCATAACCTCAGTCTGAAGTATCACTCATAACGTAGCCAGATTGTGTCCCCATGAGTCCACACACGGACACACACAGCCAAGGGGCACACAGAAGGCACAGAGGGAGCTGGCAGACACCAACACAGCCCCAAACCAAACCAGCCTCCCAGGCCGGGTATTTTTCCATGGCTCTGGGCACTAGAAGTACAGGAAGGTCACAGGGAGAGTCCGGTGCGGCTTTCCCGCCTGCCCCAGCAGCTTGGACCTATGTCACACATTCCCAGCACAGTCCCATCCATCTCCCATTACCTTTTGCCACAGGTCTGGTGACAGTGAGCCACGCAGACTGGTGAGCTTCACCAACATAATTGGAAACCTTACACACATATTCCCCGCTCTGCGCCTCTGTCACATTGAACAGGGTCAGCACCTCCGCATCCGAGCTATTAATCCCCGAATGCTGGAACAAACCAATGACACACCAGTCAGCCGGGCAAACACTGAGATGCGGCCACACTTTGCTCCCATAATTTTCAGGTGGGCCCAGGGAGTGAAGACAAGGGAGATGTCCAGGGAGAGTTATCACCTTCCCTTTTCAGTAGGTCAAAACAAGTGGACTTCCACAATTCATAGCATTTGATTGAAAAATTTACTAAAAAATTACTGCTTTTTTAGAATAGAATGATCTGTTTGTGTGCAACATACTCCTCTAGGACTAGGGCAGGGACTGTGAGTAGAGACAGTGGCCAGTTTCCTATAGAGCAGTTTCAGCAAGGGCAGCGGGGAGAAGGGATGGACAGTAAATCTTTGGGACAGCCATGACAGGGGAGGACCAGGTCTAACTCTGGGACAAGGAGGGAAACAACTTTCCCAGCTTCAGGTGACTTCCTGTTGTCAGATCCACTGGAGATTTAGGCAATTACCTTCCCTGGATTAATGGAGCATTCAGGGACAATGAAAGTCTGGGAGTAAGAGGAAAAAGGAAGAAAATGCCATTACTCCCCATACTGCTCAGAATTTACATGTGGCATTTGTTTTTCCAACTCTCTGTAAGATATGCCCTTATCATTCACCCCATTTGCCAGGAAGACCATAGAGCCAAGACCAGGAAATGCTCACTGAAAAGACTTTGGTCCAGGTAGTGAAAAGGCAGGAGTTCAAATACCTTTCTTGAACAGCTGATCCCAAAGCCCAGCATGTTGCTCAAAGCTCTTTAGAAACCGGTATCGCCCACTGCCCCGGCCCTCTGTTCCCAGCTCACCTCCACTCTGTGACCTCTGTCACTAGCTCTGGGGAATGTGGCTAGATCCCTATTGAGGAGGAGTGTGTACCTAAAGGGTGAAGCGTGAGCCCCAATCCCGGGCACTGAGCCTGCCCACAGGAACTCACGACCCCAGAGACACTGGTCTCTTTCCCAGCACAGTGGCCCTCAAGACTGGGGCCAAGATTACCTTCAAGATCTGAACATAAGGCAGGTTGTCCGGACCAATCTTGCTCCCATTCACCTCGATGTGCTTTAGCCACTGGATGTGAGGTTGTGGATCACTGTACACCTTACACATGAATTCCACGTTACTGCCCAGTGCTACTGTCTTGTTGGCTGGCAACCCTGCCTGTAGGATGGGCCGGTGAGGGGACCGCTCTATGGAACAAGGAGAGGAAAGGCTCATCAGATTCCACATGGCCTGGATCTGGTTAGAGAGAGGCAAGCTCCTCCTATAGTATCCCTGGGCTGAACCTCAGACCCTCAAATCTGAGCTGGGAAAAGGGACAGTCTCTCTTTAGGCCCTCAGTCATCGGGTACTTCCTCCCAAAGGCAGTGCATCCATATTTACAGGCATGGTAAATAAAAATCTCTCAGTGGAGAACCCTATAACTCAGACATACCCCAGACCTTGGCATAGGCTACTTCTCCATAACTAAAACCAGAGACACTTAGACTCCTGCTGTTCAAAGTAAGGTCCAGGAGCCGTGGCACCAGCATCACCTTTCTACCCAGAAATGTAGAATCTGGGCCGGGTTCGGTGGTTCAGCCTATAATCCCAGCACTTTGGGAGGCCAAGGAGAGTGGATTGCCTGAGCCTGAAGGTTCAAGATCAGCCCAGGCAACTTAGCGAGACCTCATCTCTACAATAAATAAAAAATTAGCCAGGCATGGTAGCATGCACTTATAGTTCCAGCTACTTGGAAGGCTGAGGCAAAAGGATCGCCAGAGCCCAGCAGGTTGAGGTTGTGGTAGGCATGCCACTGCACTCCAGCCTGGGCAACAGAGTGAGATTCTAACTCAAAAAAAAAAAAATGGTACAAGAAATGCAGAATCCACCAGTGCAGAGGCTTATGCCGGTAATCCCAGCACTTTGGGAGGTGGAGATGAGAGGATTGCCTGAGCCCACGGGTTTGAGATGAGCCCAGCAAGACCTTGTCTCTACAATAAACAAACAAACAAACAAAAAATTAGCTGGGTGTGGTGGCACACGCCTGTGGTTCCAGTTATTTGGAAGGCTGAGGCAAAAGGATCACCTGGCCCAGTAGGTCGAGGCTGTGGTGGCCAGGAGCATGCTATTCACTGCACTCCAGTCTGGGTGACAGAGTGAGACTCTGACTCCAAAAAAAAAAAAGAAATGCAAAATCTTGGACCCTACCCCATACCTACTGGATCACAATCTCCCCTTTAGATCCTATCATCAAAACCAAGACAGAATGCTGGCAGTGAGACTCGCACCTTAGGATCTCTTGGGAATGAGATCCAGAACTTCTACAACAGCCTCCAGAGACTCCATGTTCTTCCCAGAGTCTCCCATGATGCCCCAAAGATGGCATGGGCCTTTGACCTCTCTGAGCCTGTGTCTGTGCTCTCCTATAGAGCTAGACTATCAGTGTCCACCTTGTAAGGGTGCCATGAGTGTTACAGGGAAGTATTTAAGAACCTGGGACAGGCCAGGCTCAGTGGCTCAGCCTGTAATCCCAACACTTTGGGAGGCTGAAGCAAGTGGATTGCCTGAGCCCGCCGGTTCGAGACCAGCCCGGGCAACTTGGTGAGACCTCATCTCTATAATAAAATAAAAAATAGCTGGGCGTGGTAGTGCACATCTGTAGTCTGGGCTACCTGGAAGGCTGAGGCGGAAGGATCACTGAAACACAGAAGGTTGATACTGGGGTGGCTGTAAGCATGCCACTGCACTCCAGCCTGGGTGAATGAGTGAGATCCCAACTCAAAAAAAAAAAAAAAGAGAGAGAAACTGGGACATTACTGGCATCCACTAAGCAACTGCTCCCATAACACCAGCCACCTCCTTCAGGACAGACTATTTGCTCACCTCCCATATCACAGAGACAGACAGCTTTGAGATGTGTTACTGTCAGAACATCACCACTATTTTACACATAAGAAAAAAAAGGTGAGCTTTAAGGCTAGGCATGGTGGCTCATGCTTGTAATCCCAGCACTTTAGGAGGCCATGGTAAGAGGATTGTTTGAGTCCAGAAGTTTGAAACCAGCCTGAACAACATGGAAAAACCTCATCTCTACAAAAAATAAAAAAAATTAGCCAGGTATAGTGGTGTGCACTTGTAGTCCCAGCCACTTGGGAGGCTGAGGTAGGAGGATCACTTGGACCCAGAAATTGAGACAAGTCTGAACAACACAGCAAGATCTCGTCTCTACAAATAAAAAATTAGCTGGGAGTGGTGGCACATGTCTGTAGTCTCAGTTACTCAGGAGGCTGAGGTAGGAGGATCACTTGAGCCCAGAAGGTTGAGCCGTGATCATGCCACGGCATTCCAGCCTGGGCAACAGAGTAAGACCCTGACTTGAAGAAAAAAAGTGAGGTTCAAAAGGGACAAGTGAGCTGCTTAAGGTGACACGTGCCAACTGCTTTCCTGACTCCACCCATCAGAAGCCTGGTCTTCACGGCTCACTCCTTCTGCCCCCTCGGCATTCTTACCTACAACGTCGAGCTGATAGGTGTGGTTGATGCTGCCATACTCGTTCTCCACGATGCAGGTATAGTTGCCCTTGTCAGAGGGTACCACAGAGTCCATTATGATGCTCCAGGTAGCATAGCGGACCTGAGGGAAAACACACAACAGGATGCCATTGAGGGTCTAGGGGGAAACGCAGGCAGAAGCCACACAGCAGTGTTGGCACCTCATGGTGCTGGCCCCTCCACATCAGCACATGCAGCACACAGCCCCAGCTGTACTGCCAGCCAGGAAAGGGTACAGACTGCCCCCCAGCTCACTCACAAGCAGAAAGAACACATCGGGTAAGCTGGTGGACAGATATGAGAGTTCTGGAAGTCTCCATCATAGCGTTCAAGGCCATCTGTGATCTGGACAAATGAACCTTCTGCAAATTCTCCCAATGACACCAGGAGCCTTCCCAACCCTGCACCTCTGTCCACAGGAGCTGGTTCTCCTGCTGAGAGGCTGGCCCAGCTGCCCTTGACAGCTCATTTCAAAAACCATCTCCCCATGCCCAACCTCCAGTCAGAACTGCTCTCACCCCGTCTACTGAAGCATTGATCACAGCCTGTTCTTTACGACAGCTGCTCGTGGACATCTGACCTCTCAGATTGGAAAATGTTTATGAGCAGGAATGCTGTCTTACACCATCTGAAGGACGGTGCACTCTATACAGTAAGTACTTGGTGAATGAGTTTAACATATTTCCCTATTTTTTCTGATTCTTTTCTTATGCATGATTAAAGAGAAAAGAGAAGCAAGGTGAGATGAGAAGAAAAAATCGGGCTGGTAAGGAGATCAGAGAGATTAAAGATGGATTACAAGGAAGAAAATATAAATGCGCAAAAGACACCACAGACCATTTATACAAGAGGAAATGAAAACTGCTTATTAATGTGAAAATTGCTGGGCACAGTGGCTCACGTCTGTAATCCCAGCACTTTGGGAGACCAAGGCAGGAGGACTGCTTGAGCGCAGGAGACAGAGTTCGAGGCTGGTCTAGGCAATATAGCGAAACTCTGTCTCTACAAAAAAATTAAAAAAGTTAGCTAGGTGTAGTGGCGCCTGCCTGTAGTCCCAGCTACTCAGGAGGCTGAGGCGGAAAGAATGCCTGAGCCCAGGAGGTCGAGGTTGTGGCGAGCGGTGATTGTGCCAATGCACGTCAGTCTAGGTGACAGAGTGAGACCCCAACTCAAAAAAAAAAAAAGGGAAAAGTCTAACTTTTTTAATAAGAAAAATTATACACAAGAGAATAATGAAATTCAGTCATCCCCCCTTATCTATGGGGGATTATGTTCCAATACCCCCAGTGGATGCCAGAAACTGTAGATAGCACTAAAACCTATACACAGTACTAATTTTTCTTACATAGACATACATATAATAAATTTAATTTATACATTTGGCACAGCAAGAGATTAACAATATAACTAATTATAAAATAGAATAATTATAAAAATATACTGTAATAAAACTCAGTGAATGTAGTCTCTCTCTTTCAAAACATCTACTTTACTGTACTCACCTATTTACAGTCCTCGGTTGACGGTGGGTAACTGAACTCATGGATAGCAAAACCATGGATTGAGGGGGGAACTACCGTATTTTCTTTCTTTTTTTTTTTTTGAGTCGGAATCTCGCTCTGTTGCCCAGGCTGGAGTGCAGTAGTACGCTCACAGCCACTGTAGCCTTGACCTGCTGGTCTCAGGCAATCCTTCCATCTCAGCCTTTCAAGTAGCTAGAACTACAGGTGTGAGTCACCATACCTGGCTAATTTTTTAATTTATTGTAGAGATGAGGTCTCACTAAGTTGCCCAGGCTGGTCTTGTACTCCTGAGCTCAGGCAATCCTCTCACCTCGCCTCCTAAAGTAAGCCACCACATCTGGCCCTGTATTTTCTTTCTTTCTTTCTTTTTTTTTTTTGAGTTGGAGTCTCACTCTGTCACCCAGACTGGAGTGCAGTGGCCGCTCCCGACCACCGCAGACTCGACCTGCTGGGCTCCGGCCATCCTTCCGCCTCAGCCTTCCAAGTAGCTGGAATTACAGGCGTGCGCTACTACACCCGGCTAATTTTTTGATTTATTGTAGAGATGAGGTCTCACCAAGTTGCCCAGCGGGTCTCAAACCCACAGGCTCAGGCAATCCACTCACCTCAGCCTCCCAAGGCGCGGGATTACAGGCTGAGCCACCGAGTCCGGCTTGGCTCTGTATTTTCATCTATCGAATTAGTTAACAAAGGTATAGTGAATTTGTCTTCCTCATGCTATGCTATGGGAGGGTAAAATAATTTTCCCTTTTAAGAAACTAATTGGATACTATGCAAAGGTTTAAAAAATGCATATACCCTTTGACTTAGTAATTTCACTTCTAGCAATCTGTCCTTAAAAAACACATTAAAAAATGCTGATGAAGATATTCATTGCAACATTTATAACTCTGAAAAACTAGAAAACACCTAATGTCACAAAATAGTTCATTAAGTTATGGGACATTTTTATAACAAAATATTATGCAGTCATGAAAAATTATCTTTCAAACACTCATGCTTGAAATAGAACAGGAAAAGACTCATATTATTATGTCAACAAATGACAAGAAATTATATATGCGATGTGATCAACTATGTAAAAGCCACATATACAGAAAAAGGACTGAAAATATTTTCTAAACTTTATTTGCATTTTTCGTACTTAAAATTGTTTTAAATTAATTGTGGGTGTGTAGAGAGAGAACCCATTTGTATTCTCTTGTATATCATCCTGTTTATGATCATGGTTAAAAAAAAAAAAAAAAAAGAAAAGGCACTCTGAGTTCTTTAAGAAAAAAAATTTTTAAGATGTGGGGTATAATTCAGCATTAGGTATACAAATGTTTATTATGCAGGTACCCAAGAAAAAAAAAGTTCATGTGTTACCTGTACGTTAGGAAGCATGATTTAAAACAATTAAAAACATACGATAGACTGGTCACAGTGGCTCAAGCCTGTAATCCTAGCACTTTGGGAGGCCAAGGTAAGAAGATTGCCTGAGCTCAGGAGTTCAAGACCAGCCTGGGCAACTTGGCGAGACCTTGTCTCTACAATCAATCAAAAAGTTAACCAAGCATGGTGGCGTGCACCTGTAGTTCCAGCTACTTGGGAGACTGAGGCAGAAGAATAGCCTGAGTCCAACAGGTCGAGGCTGTGGTGGCCGTGAGCATGCCACTGCATTCCAGCCTAGGCAATAGAGTGAGTCCAACTCAAAATAAAGTAAAATAAAATAAATAAATAAAAGCACACAATAAGGATTTTCTAACTTAGCTTCTCCCCTTCCTCTTATTCCAACTTTTATATTACACATGTACCTTGTAGCCTCCGATCCTGTGGTCAGGTTTGAATTCCTTGCCATTTTTCAGCCAGCGCAGTGTGGGGTTAGGTGTCCCACTGGAAGGGCATTTGAACTTCACTGTCTTAGCAGCAGGCACTGCGTGCAATTTCTTTTCCATCTTTTCTGGAGATGTCCAATATGGAGCTACGGCTGCCCGGGGAAAGCCAAGAGAGACAAGCGGGGGCAGGGGAGCGGCTGATCAGGCCTGGGAGCAAGGATGCAGGCCAGGATCTGCAGGGACCCTGCCCATCGCCCAATACCTGCGAGCCCTGCGGCCCTTATCAGAACAGGCACCGTGAGCACCGTGACCCCGTAACCATGTGCCTTCTCCTCCTCTTTCCCCTCAACCTCCTTCCCTCTTAAGTCAACTCCCCAGGCCCAAAGGGCAGTAAGGTAGGAAACAGTGTCTCACGCATACGGTTTGGTTTGGTGTTATCAGTCTCTTTCTCCTCTGAAGAGGAGTCATCATCGTCATCGTCGTCCTCCGAGGAGGGGAGGGCATCTACGGGAAGGAGAAGGGACACTGAGGTTCCTCCAAGGGACCCCCAGGTTTCCATCCATACGTTACCCCATTGATAGTGCAAGCTATAGATGAACACGGACACCCTTCCCCATAAGGATTCCCAGTCCCATGTTCCCCTCAGTGAGAATCTCTTGGTGGGATAGAAACTATTTAATAACTGCATGCTGGTTAGCCATGGTGACTCACACCTATAATCCCAGCACTTCAGGAGGTCAAGGTGGGAGGACTGCCTGAGTCCAGGAGTTTGATGTCAGCCTGGGCAACATAGCAAGACCTTGTCTCTACCAAAAAAAAAAAAAAAAATCAAAAAATTAGACAGGCATGGTGACACACCTGTAGTCCCAGCTACTCAGGAGGCTGAGGAAGCATCACCTCAGCCCAGCAGGCTGAGGCTGAGGTGGGCTATGATTGTGGCAATGCATCCCAGTCTGGGTGACAGATTGAGACCCCAACTAAAAAAATAAAACAGGCTGGGTGTGGTGGCTCAGCCTGTAAACCCAGCACTTTGGGAGGCAGAGGCGAGAGGACTGTCTGAGCCTGGGTGTTCGAGACCAGTCTGGGCAACCTGGGAAGACCTCGTCTCCACAATAAATCAAAAAAGCAGCTGGGTGTGGTAGCACATGCCTGTGGCTCCAGCTAATTGAAAGACCGAGGTGGGAAGATCACCTAAACCCAGCAGGTCAACTCTGGGGTGGCTGTGAGTGTGCCACTGCACCCTCGCCTGGGCAACAGGGTGAGACTACGACTCTAAATAAATAAATAAATAAAACAAAAGAACTGCATGTTCTGGTGCTTATCCCTTCCTCTTCAAGGCACTGCCCCTCCACCCAAAAGCCTTCATGCTGGGTGGTTCCATCAGGGTCAGTTGTTCTTCTTTAACTTAATTCCACCCTGCATTCAGAGGCTCTCCCTCAAGCCATGGTGCCATTGGATGCTCTGGGTCTCAGAGCCAACAGCCAGGAGCCTGTACTCTTTGGGTCGCCAACCACTGGGAAGCCCAGGCAGACCGAAGTACACTGTGGTTTGACACTATTTCCAAAGGCACGGGCTGAACAACCGGCAGGCAGAATGTTTCTCGCATGTGTCTGCTGAGGTTTGGGGGCTGCCTTCCTTACCCAGAGCAGACAGGGCGCCTACCACCCAGCCTGCAGTTACCATCATCTCCCCAACAAGTCTCTACCCTTCGTAAGAACAGGCTTGACACATGTGTGGTCCTCCCGCAGGGTGCATACCAGGTCTTTCTCCAGTCCTTCCAGCACTTCTGGGTATCTGGTACCAAGCCTGCACCCTGGGGTGCACAAATGGCATAAAGAAAATTTCAGCACTGCTTCCTTGAATCCTAGTTTTGTGAAAGTCGCATTCTGAAATGCCAGGTTCCCTAAGTCATCAAGCTGTAGGGTTCCCTGGCTGCCCTGACAGCTCCGGAAGCTGGAGGGCAAATGTTCTCCATAAAGCCTGTGAATGTGGCAGCACACGTGGGTCCTTCCCCATCACAGCAGGGGCCTAGGCCCATGTTCTGGGGCTCTACCCACTAGGCTGAGAACCAAGTCCAGATAGCAAGGGAGTGATGGGCTGGCCCTGCCCCACTGAGCCTCCTGGAGGTCTGGACAAGCTGTGGTATGAAAAGATCTTGGAGGCGTCCCGCCTGGTCCCCATGAGCTAAGCCACGCGGCGGGCAGGGTGCAAGGTTAGTGGGCAGCAGCTTCTGAAGCAGAGTGGGGACAGATCATGGAAGGGGAGGAGGGTCACTTCCCCTGAAACTCACAGAGAGGATTGGGGGGGAGATCTAGGTGGAGGGCGAGGGCAGGATTTTGCTACCAACCTGAGACATTGACGGAGAAGTAGGTGGTGTCACTGCCTGAGGGGCTGCTGGTCACACAAGCGTAGAGGCCGGAGTCGGCGGGCCCGGAGTCCCGCACCTCCACCTCCTCGCCTGTGATGCGGGTACGGTTGCTTTCCACCAGCTGCACCCCGTCCCGCAGCCAGTTGATGCTCTGCACATCGTCACGCAGCCGGCAGCGGAGCTGCAGCAGGTCACCAGGGTGGACCAGGAAGGACTCCACTTCCACAGGGGCTCCCCAGGGCTGGGCTGCAGCCACCACCGGGGTCGGGAAGAGGAAGCAAGGGCAGTAGAGGAGAGAGGAAGAGGGGAGGAGGGAGAGACAAAGGGAATTACGCGAGGGAATTATGTGAGCTGTACACGGGAACGTCCCGCATCACTTACTGGAGGCTACAGAGCAGGGAGGTGGGAGTTGAGGATGGGTCAGTCAGGGAATGGCTACCTGGGCAGCCCATCTCTTCTCCACCCCACTCCTCCAGAAGTCAAAAGAAGAAAGAGGTGAAGTTAGGAAGCAGCTGCAGCAGCATTAAGCAGATAGATCACATTCTACTTCCCTCCATCCTAGCGGGGAAGGTCGTGCTCTCCCCCACCCAGCCCAGGCTTCTCTGTGTTCAGGGTGTCTCCTCCCCACATGCTCAGTTCTTTGCCAAGAACAGCCACTTCCCAGAGGGACACCCATGTCCTTTAGGCTAAGCCAGCCTCATCCCTTCCCTAGCAACAGCTCAACACACCCCGCCTTTCAAAACCCCACCCGAGTCCAGAGACAGCAGTTTGTCAACTGAGGGCTGAAGGGGGTTCATGTGACTTGGCAAGGGTGGGGCTGTCCCCCACCCCATGTCAGATGCACATGTGGGAGGGACGGCCCAAGGAGAGGTCAGCTCGGGGGAACTTCGCACTAACAGGTGTCAGGCCAGAGGATTTGGAGCTGTTGACTATAATAGGATCGGAGTCCACAGCTGCCACAGACTCACACTTGCTCTGGCAGAAGACGCTGTCACACACAAAGCTCCTTTCTCCTCGTCCCTCTGCCCGAGCTTACCCTCTCAAGCCCCCACCACCCACTCTCCCTTCCCCCATTCATTCTCTGTCCCAAGTGGCAGCACTGGACTGGCCCAGGGGTGCAGTTCAAAAGATTTGACACTGCCAAGGGAACCCACCCTCCTCCTGACCAACACCTCCCCACACATGGGTCCAGGAGGGCCTGTGCCCCAGATACACCTGAGTCCTCTGTCCTGGGCTGTCATCCATTTCTTGAACAGCCCTCCATCCCCCACACTCTTGAGGGAAAAATGAAGTTTCTATTTCCTTTTAGGATGTTCAAACATACCCTGGGCATTTTCTTCCATCAGCAGAATGCACTGGTGCCTGTCACACCTACCACCCGACTTCTGCCTGCTGCCTTGAAGAGGTCTCATTTCTCACCACCTGTCTGCCCTAAGAGGCTCATGTGGAATGACTTGCAGGCTCCCATGCATGAGGCCCTGAAACACAACATGCTCTCCCTCAGTGCCTGCTTGGTTCTCACCACTGTCTCAGCCTAGCTGGTGACTCCTCCTGAACACCAGTTCTGACTCCCAGTCTGTTTTGAGTTACACGCCCTCCCTCACACTTGTCCCAATGGACAGACAGTCCCCTTTTTCCACTGAGTCCTGAGTGTGGGGATGTCATAGCTACCTTTACATCCTAGTACAATTCCTGGCACCCAAGTTGCTTAACAAATGCTTGCTGAGTAAATGACACATGTCCCATCTCACAAGAGTTTGTTGTTCTACTGTCTTCCTTTGCAAACCCCCTGTCCTCCTCCACCTTCTCTCATTTCATTGAGGGTCTTTCTGAAGTGTTCAACAGGTTTCCATTACAAACCTGCAGGCATGGTGGCTCAAGCCTATAATCCTAGCACTTTGGGAGGCTGAGGCAGGAGAATCACTTGAAGCCAGGAGTTTGAGACCAGTCTGGGTAACATAAGCGAGACCTCGCCTCTACATAGGTGGTGTGTGCCTATAGTCCTAGCTACTTGGTAGGCTGAGGCAGGAGGTTTGCTTTAGCCCAGGAGTTTGAGGCTGTGGTGAGCCATGATTGTGCCACTGTACTCTAGCCAGGACAACAGAGTGAGACCTTGACTCAAAAAAAAAAAAAAAAAAGAATAAAAGAAAAAAGAAAATGGGTGTCACAAGCACCAGAAGGCACCAGAGACTGGTTTTCCTCAGAGGAGTCAGGGAGCCAAGGTTGCCTGTACCCACAACAACCCTAGGTCTTAGTTAAGAGTCATCAGATGGGGGCAGGGCTGCTTTAAAGGGTTCCAAAGCCACTAAACTGCACATGCTTATTTTCGTGAATCCGGTCAAGGGGAATACCACAAAGGTGAGCAGACCACACAACTGATTAAAAATAAGCTTTTGTGGGTCCTAGAAAAAGTTATTCTTTCCATTTTTAATGGTTTGTGGTTTTGCCAAATGAAGGTAGAAGCAAAGCAGTTAAGACTCCTACCCTAAGGAAAAGAGCAGACACTCTTATTGATCAAATCTCATTTCCCTCGAATGACCTCACTGATTAAATATTTTGCAGTCTGTGATCTGTCCCCGCTGTTGGTCAACAGCAAACTTAAATTCTCAGCCCCTGGCATCACAAAGCCTGTTTGAACAGGTCCCAGAGAAGAAAAGTAGCTCCCAAAAACAAAAACATAGAAGAATAACCCCCAGGCATTTCCCCCAAAAGAAAGTAGGGAAGGAATGCTGGTCCTGCTGGGAGCTAGGATCCATAAGTTCCTGCCCATGTTCCAACCAGAACATGCAAACAAAACTCCTCTACATGAACTATAAAAAGCCTCAAGGCTGGACATGGTGGCTGATGCCTATCATCTCAAGCACTTTTGGAGGCTGAAGTGAGAGGATTGCTTGAACACAGGAGTTCAAGACCAGCCTGGACAGCAAAGCAAGATCCTGTCTCTTAAAAAAAAAAGCAGAGGCGGAAGGATCGCCAGAGTCCAGCAGGTCCATGCTGGGGTGGCTGTGAGCGTGCCACTGCACTCTAGCCTGGACAACAGAGTGAGACTCAAAAAAAAAAAAAAGCTTAAAACTTTTCTTTAGTCAACAGGGTGGCTCACACCTGTAATTTCAGCACTCTGGCAGGCCAAGGCAGAAACATAGGTCTTATGCTCAATGATCTTGAACTGAATTTATCATCTAGCAAAAGCTAATTTTCAGAGGAACTGAAAACCAGCCTAGGATGTGTGTCAGAATCTCCATTTACAAAGCTGGGATAGCAGCACTTTTTTCCAGGAGATGATGGAACCAACTGCTTGTGTGTTTACTGGGCCATGCCCAACTACATCAGTGGCACAGCCCTGGCCTTGGGGAGTCCAGTGTAAGGAGGCTGATTGGAAGACAGCCTGCTTAGTGGCACCCGCAACAATCAAGTCACCACTTTTCATTTTTCTTTTGGTCTTCTCAGCATCCCCCACTTATGTCCTCAATAGAAAGGTTCTTGTATCCCCACTCCGGCTCCCCTGAGCTGGCCTTTCTCTGGTCAAGACCAGGGCTACACTTGTCATGAGGTGTCAACGAGCAAGAGAAGAGCCACCTGACACTTTTACTGGGCTGGCCACGAAAGATGAAGGAAATAAAGCCCCTTTATTGCCCAGCCACTTGAAACCAACATTCCAACTCTTGGTGAACCTGATTAATTGGAATCAGATACAAAGGTGCCCTCCAAATGCACAATGGGAGGCTGAGAGGAAAGCAGCAAACCAAAACACTGGCTTTCAGCATCTTGTTTCCTGAGAGATGAGGTGGGGGAGTCTGGAGGACATCTGGTATCTGGATTCCAGGGTGACTTCACCTGAGGCTGGAAACGCTGGCTGTTCACTGTGACAGACTCCGAGAACTGTGTGTTCACAATGCCTAGTGGAAAAAGGTACCCTCTGTTTTGGTGCCAATGGAACAGAGTCACAGCTACCATCACTGGGAGTGGGAAGGTCAGAGTTAGGGCTTGAATGGCATATCCTTAGAGGGCACAGGCTGTTGACCTAATTTCCAAGGCAGGTTTCTAGGTAAGGCGGGTAGTAGGTGAACCTCAGAACGCGGTGCAGGCTAGATCCAGTGCCCCTTTGATGGGAGTGACAGGGATTCACACACTAAACCCAATCTGCTTCTCTAAGGAGGCTCTGTGTTCCCTGGAGGGGAACTAGGAGTTCATGGGTACCCATGTTTTTCAGTAATCCTCAAGGAAGCAGATAGAAAGGCCAGAAAGGCGGGGGTGGGAGGGACTTTCTCATGGTGTCTTCAAGTTCAGGAACATGATAAATGTTCTTTTTTTACAAAAATTTTATTTCTTTATTTTTTTAGAGATAAGGTCTCACTATGTTGCCCAGGCTGGTCTTGAACTCCTGGGCTCAAGTAATCCTCCCATTTGGCCTCCCAAAGTGCTGGGATTACAGGTGTGAGTAAATTATTTTCTGAACAAACGATTAAATCATTGCTAATGACTGAATGTTTATCTCTTCAAAATTCATATAATGAAACCTAATCTCCAATGTGAGAGCACCAGAAGATGGGGCCTTTGGGGGGTGATTGCCCAACATGATTAATGGTAATGAAACTCTATTGAGTCCCACTCCCTCCTACTTGCTGCCCCCCCCATACTGCAGGTTTGGGACTCCCCACAAGTTGACAGGTGGGGCATTTTGCATTACGGCAGGATCTGTCAGAAATCTCCCACAGTCACTGAGGCGATAGTTCTGCCCTGGGTCCATCATATCAGATAAATCCGTGTCTTTCACCAGTCACAGGCCCTATGAACCCTGTGACTGGTGAGGAAATGGAGCCATGAGGAGGCTCAAACCCATACACACCTTGTCATTCTTACGGGGAAGATGAGACCTCCAGGTTCTGAAAATCCAAGAAGACAGGGAACTTTCTTCAAAATGGCTATCACTATCACTAGGTGACTCTGTGAGCCCTTGTCACTGTGCAAGAAGAAATGGGCTAAACTTTGTTTCATTGCTACACGAAGGCACCGAAGATGTGAGTCTTGCCCTAACAGGGGTAAAAAGATTTGCATAGCATCTTGAGATGCATGAGGCACTTTATAATGCAATGTGAGACAACTGGAGACCCTTGGGACCGAGTACAAGCCGCCCAGCACAGGTTTTGAGCCAGGATCTCACTCTGTCACCCAGACTGGAGTGCTGGCACAGTCACGGCTCACTGCACCCTCTCCCTTCTGGGCTCAGGCAACCCTTCCACCTCAGT